CAACACTTGAATCTTCACAGTCTGCATCATGTTACATAGGGTTCACCATGTGCTAATCTAAATCATCTCAATAATTTTACAAAGAAAATATGATCACTATTTCTAGTTAGCAGCTGAGGAAACCATAGGGAAGAATATCTATGTGCTTTGCTCAAGATTTAGGGGGCAGTAAGGGATGGGAGTCAGGAGCCAGGATCTGAATCCCAAGCTGACTCCAGAAGCCATTTCAGAGCCAAGATATAACAATGCCTGCTTGGAGTCATAGAATAGCAAAAGCCCTAAACAGCACTCTAGCCTCAGAATCAACCCTTAAGACATTTGGATCTGGCTAAAAAGCCCATGAGAGTGTTTTAGGCATAGAAAGCCAAGAAACTCTGGCAAAAACAAAACAAAAACAAAACAGAACAAACAAACACAAACCCTAAATGAAAGATCTCTGTAAGTGAGATTCTAGCAGAAAGAATGGGCCATTAAAGAAGGAGGTACCTTTCTCTGAAGGGAGGAGAGAACTTCCACTTTGATTATGGCTTGTCTAAAGAAGATCGGAGTTGGTGAACTCAAAAGGCTTCCTTAGCCTTGGAAGCTTATGACAAGAGCCTCGGGTGATTACTGACATCATAAATAAGAGTGTCAATTGTTAACAACAAGAGTCACTGTGCACCTGCCCCCCATGTAGGCCCTCTGCCCTTAATGTGTTGTACTATGAGAATTAATGGTAAAACTACTACTCAAACAGTACTCTATACTTTGTGTGTCTTTGTGGGTGCAGTCTGTTGAAATCTTTACTTAGTATATACTAAGTTGATCTTCTGTATATAAAGGTAATTGAAAATGAATCTTGATGAAGAATGGGATGGGAGAGGGAGTGGGAGATGGGATGGTTGTGGGTAGGAGGGAGGTTATGGGGGAAAGCTGCTATAATCCAAAACTTGTACTTTGGAAATTCATATTTATTAAATAAAAGTTGAAAAGAAAAAAATTAGCAATGCCTGCTTGGAAAAGGGGTTCAACTTGTTTTATTTAAATTGTCCATTTAAGTGGCTATAGTTGTAATCATCAGTTCTTTAGTATAAGCTGCATTAGCTCTGACCTTGACTCATCATTTTAGGATATAAATTGCTGGAATGTAGAGTTCCAAGCTTATTTTTACATTCTCTTAAATGTTTGTGGGACTCAGCATTTTAAAAAATTTCTACCCCAAACCACCAATATTTAATGTCATTCTTCACACCTCTGATCATGCTGTCATCCCCTCAAAACTCTAACAAATCCGACAACCTGGATTATTGTCTCCCTTTCACATCTACCCAAATTATTTCAGTACCACAGAGTTATTTCTTAGAATTGCCAACACTTTTATTCTCACTTAATATTTTCATTTGTATTAGTTTTTCTAGAGAATTGTAAATGGATTTTTAGTTAGGTAACTACATACCTTAGACAGAGCCCTGAATGACATATTTGAAATTTCTTCTATCTCCCTGGAACACTGAGTAAAATTAATTTTAAGATTACAAATTTTAGGCCAGCGCCGGGGCTCAATAGGCTAATCCTCCGCCTGTGGTGCCGGCACCCCGGGTTCTAGTCCCAGTCGGGGCACTGGATTCTGTCCCAGTGGCCCCTCTTCCAGGCCAGCCCTCTGCTATGGCCCGGGAGTGCAGTGGAGGATGGCCCAATTGCTTGGGCCCTGCACCCCATGGGAGACCAGGAGAAGCACCTGGCTCCTGCCATCGGATCAGCGCGGTGTGCTGGCCGCGGCGGCCATTGGAGGGAGAACCAATGGCAAAGGAAGACCTTTCTCTCTGTCTCTCTCTCTCTCACTGTCCACTCTGCCTGTCAAAATAAATAAATAAAAGATTACAAATGTTATACCAAATGCCCGGTTCCCAGTTCTTCGCTGCTTGAGACCCTGGTGGATGCTGTTTCCAAAAAAGTGCATATTCATAAAGACTGCACCTTGGCCTTCAGACTCTAGCCCTGTTAAGGCAAATTCTTCGTATTTCTAATTTTTTCCCAGTGTATTTCAGTCATCTGTTTTTAGGTTCCTTGCATATTTTTGAATAATTGATGCATACACACCAATAAAGTTTGAAAGTCCATGAGGTGTGCAGGGAAATAAGTTTCCCTCCAAATGATGTTCTTTCCCTACACAAGGTTGCCTCTCCAGGCCAACTGGTGATAGCTTGTAGCTAATGCTTGTAATACACACGCACACACACACAAACACACACAAACACACACGTGTGTGTGTGCATGTATACATGTACATATAGTGTATATGTATGTTCATATTTTTAAAAAGGTTACTATGTTGTATAAAAATTCTGCATTTTTAACAAAAATTATGCATTTCCAAATTCATCAATGGCTAAATTTTCCATAATAAAATCTGTTTTGATAGATGTTTAAGCCACTTCCAATATTTTGCCACTGCAAGCAAGATTGTAGTAAATACATATTTTATACATATGTACAGAATAAAAAGATTTGGACTGCTTGAATGGCAGCACTGGTCGAAGCTAGTACATTAAAAATTATGACATATACCACCTAAGTGTCACTCATAAAAGATGAATCCATCCCTTCATACTACATCAGAGAGCTCTTCACTCTACCACCTTGCTAATACAATCTTTTAACATATTTAATCTCATCCATCTCGTAGATAAAAATGGCATTTCATGATTTTGAATATCTATTATTTTGACAGGGCTTGAGCAATTTCTTATATATTTCTAAATAATACATATAATTACTTTTGTGAATTGATACTTTGTATCTTTTACTCTTTTTACTACTGAATTGCTGATCTTTCTCTTATTGATTGGTGAGCGCTCAGTATATTTTTAAATTATCTCACTGTGTATCATAATTGTATCAAAAATTTACCTGCTTATTTTTTGTCCTTTAACACAGCTTATAGCTGTTTTAATTATACTGTGATAAATTTACATTTTCCTTTTGGGGTTTTCTCCTCTCTTGGAAGCCCCCCTCCATGCTACTCTTGATGGAGGCCTTTGACTCTAACAAATCTAAATAAATCTCAAAAAAAATTTAAATTTGGTTAAAAATTTTTAGGATCTCTTGGTTCTTTTTGCTAAGATAGGCTTTCACTATTATGAGATTATACACACATTCTCTCACAATGTCTTACAGTACTTTCATGACCATCATGTTTTCATGTATATTTATAATTTATATCCAATTCTCTGTAACTCTTTCAAATAAATAAATCTTTAAAAAACATGAAGCTAAATGAAATATTTAAAAAATTTAAGCTATCATATGCTAACATAAATTAATATCAAAAATTGAGAGTAAATGATATTCTCGAGTGTTTAAATACCAAAATAGTGTGCAATTTAAAGAGAAAAATCTATCAATAAAATCATTTATTTCTTGTGTAATCACTTTCATATATATATACATGTGTGGAATACACTTTAAGATAAGGCATTTGTCAGATATAAATTAAAATGTTTCAGGGGCCGGCGCTGTGGCTCAGCAGGTTAACGCCCTGGCCTGAAGAGCCAGCATCCCATATGGGCGCCAGTTCTAGTCCTGGCTGTTCCTCTTCCGATCCAGCTCTCTGCTGTGGCCTGGGAAAGCAGTACAAGATGGCCCAAGTCTTTGGGCCCCTGCACCCAAGTGGGAGACCCGGGAAGAAGCTCCTGGCTCCTGGCTTTGGATTGGCACAGTTATAGCCATTGTGGCCAATTGGGGAATGAACCATCGGATGGAAGACCTCTCTCTCTCTCTCTCTCTCCCTCTCTCTCTCTCTCTCCATCTCCTCTCTCTGTGTAACTCTGACTTTCAAGTAAATAAACCTTTAAAAATGTTTTATTTCTTCAGCTATGGGGAGAATAACATCTAATTTTGTCTAACATTATTATAGATGCTACAACTTCTGCCTGAAGGTAAAATAGCCTAGCATATTCTAATATGCATTATAATTTTAAATATTTTTATTTCATTGAAATGAAGTAAGATTTATGGTCAGGGTTGTGCTGCAGTTTGTGAAGTCACCACCTATAACCCAGGCATCCCATAATGGATGAGTCCTGGATACCCTTTTGATTCAACTTCTTAGTAATATACCTGGAAAGCAGCCAAGAATGGCCCAGGCACTTCGATCCCTGTCATCCATGTGGGAGACGCAAATAGAGTTCTGGGCTCCTAGCTTTGGCCTAGACCAGCCTTGACAATGTGACCATTTGGGAAGTGAATGAGTGAGTGGAAAAATCTCTGTCTTTCTCTCTCTCTATGTCATTTGGTCTTTTAAATGAATTAATAAATAAATATCTTCTAAAAATAAAAATGAAGGTTTCTTGCATTTCACATAATAAGTTGTAATTTGTTTTGTTATTATATTAATATACTACGAAGTATTTGATAGAGACTTTAAATTCTTATTTTCTCACAAATTGTAATAACTATATTAAAGCTGAGAAGACAAAAATTATGGTTTGTAATATGAAGATAAATGACAGATGTATTAACTAGTTTGATACAACCATTCCATATTATATATTTACATCAAATGTCACAGTATATCCCATAAATACATATTACATTTTTCAATTAAAATAATAGTAATATTAAAACTGTGGGGTTGATCTTGTGGTGAAATACTTGGATAAGATGGCTGTCGCTCCCCGTCTTCGTGGAGGAACGACACAGGACCCTGCGCTGTTCTTTTGTCTGCTCGGCCCTCCCCGGGTTTGCTGCTGGTTCTTCCCGGGTTGGCTACCGACCCTTCCACCTCCGTGGAAGGGCGGTTCCCCCTGCCAGCTTCCCCACTTCCGCGGGGGAGCGGCACACCGCCGGCCGGCTCTCTCGGGGGCTGCACAGTTTATTGGTTGAACTGGAGGCAGCTGTGTAGAAGCTGTTTCTCCCTTCTCAGCGCCATATTGTGGGAGAGCAGATGCATAGAATAAGTCTTAATTCCAGTAACTTAGTCTAGTCCGAGTTGCTCCCAGTGCTCGCCAGATCGCCCTATCTTTTATTTTGGCATTGATACGCGCCTGTCTTCGGTACCCCGCGGCACACACTCTGCTCTGCTTGCTAGAGTTGCCCACAGGTGCTTACAAGCCCTACCAATAAGGCAAACCGAATCTGGGTCCTCTCTTCGCCATGCTGTGAGGAGGTTTTTAGGCGCTGCTGCGTGCCTGTGTTCGGTGCCCTGCAGCGCATGCTCTGCTCTGCTAGAACTGCCTGCAGGTGCTTACAAGTCCTATCAATCAGGCAAACCGAATCCAAGCCTTCTCATTGCCGTATTGTGGGGAGACTTATTGGTGTTGATTCGTGCCTATCTTCGGTGACCTGCAGCTCATACTCTGGTCGAGCTGCCTGCTGGTGCTTACCGCCTTACTAATCAGGCAGACCGAATCCAAGCCTTCTCATTGCGGTATTGTGGGGAGACTTATTGATGTTAATTCGTGCCTGTCTTCGGTGACCTGCGGCTCATAAGCTGCTAGCCGCCCACAGGTGCTCACCACCTCCATAATCAGGCAGACCGAATCCAAGCTCTCTCATTGCCATGTTGAGGGGAGGCCTTATTTTTCTCTATTTCTCTACCTCCGGGCATTCCTATCTCTCCCATTTTACTTCTATCTACCAGCATTCCTATTTCTCTCATTTTACTTCTAAACTTCTGTTTTTCTTATCCCTGCGGCTTCCCGGCGCCCGCCCCGAGGCTGCTTCTCGGCAGCTTCCCGGCTCTGAGCCGCTTCAGCCCGCGCTTCTCTCATCTGCGCGGCTTCCCGGCTTTGCGCGGCTTGGCTTCGTGCGCTCCACGGTCTCCACGCCCTTCGAGTCTGCAGCACGGCCTCGCACTAGCCCCACGTTCCCTATCTATTCACGCCCCGCGCGCTCTCTCTGCACGCGGTGGCTTCCGCGAGTCACAGAGCGTAGCTTACATTTCCGCCACCACCGGTATTCAATCTAAGTTCCCCGGGCTAACCTGGCGAATTCAACCTAGCTTACGCGTCTCCGCCTTATGGTTTGGCTTCCTGTCTTTTGCTCCCCGGGCTAATCTGACGGATTCCAACCTGGCCCACATTTCCGCCTCTGGTTTAACTTTTCGCCTTTTGCCCCCCAGGCTGACTTAAAGAATTCCAAACTGGCTTACGTTTCCGCCTCGGCCTGCCCCCCCCGCGGCTTCCATTTCCCTAACATTTTTCTCTACCCGGTATGTTTCCCTAAGTTTTCTTCCAACAATATTCCTCCCTCATTTCTCCTGGCTTCTCCCCACAGTCCGTATCCAAGTCTGTTTGTTCTAGCTTTCACTTTCGCTTTCGACCTTAGAGATTTCTCCCAGCTTCCCCCCGTAGTCCGTATCTGAGTCTATGCCTAGGCTTTCAATAGCTTCTTCCGGCACCTTTTTCGTCCGGCTTTTCCCTAGGCTGTATGCTAGTCTCTCTCTCCGATATTTTCCCACTTCTTCCCGTTTCTTCCCTCCTAGGTTTCCTATCTGAGTCACGGCACCATTATGTCGCTCCCCGTCTTCGTGGAGGAACGACACAGGACCCTGCGCTGTTCTTTTGTCTGCTCGGCCCTCCCCGGGTTTGCTGCTGGTTCTTCCCGGGTTGGCTACCGACCCTTCCACCTCCGTGGAAGGGCGGTTCCCCCTAGCCACTTTCCCCACTTCCACGGGGGAGCGGCACACCGCTGGCCAGCTCTCTCGGGGGCTGCACAGGTGTTCCTTCAGATAGATGTTCCTGGTGCATGTTGTCTCTCTCCTTAATAGTCCTCTTCCACCAATCCCAACTCTGCTACCCACACGCCGAGTACGCTGCTCTCCTCCAATCAGGAGCAGGTCCTACAGTTTATTGGTTGAACTGGAGGCAGCTGTGTAGAAGCTGTTTCTCCCTTCTCAGCGCCATATTGTGGGAGAGCAGATGCATAGAATAAGTCTTAATTCCAGTAACTTAGTCTAGTCCGAGTTGCTCCCAGTTGCTCCCCACAGATGGCATCCTATATTGGAGTGCCAGTTCAGATCTCAGCTTCTCTGCTTTAATACAGCTTCCTGCTAATGTGCCTGGGAAGGAAGCAGAAGACAGTCCAAATACTTGGGTCCCTGCCACTAATGTGGAAGATCATGATGACGTTCTCAGCTCTTGCCTACATACTAGCCCAGATCTGGATCTTGAAGCCATTTGGGGAGTGAACCAGCAGATTGAAGACCTATATCTTTCTCCTACCCTTCTCCCTCTCTCTTTCTCTTTCTGTCTCTCCTTTTATCACTTGTATCCCTCTCTGTTCCCCTGCCCTTGAAACAAAAAGGTAAATCATAAAAAAGCAAATTATAACATATTAACTTTGTTCTTTTGAGGGTAACCAAAACTAAAATAAAGATTCAAATCAAGTTATTACTTACAAGATATGATATTGGCCCATACAACCTGTACATTTATGGAGTACCATGTGATATTCTCAAGTATATAAACCATGCAATGTTGAATCAGTTTAAACGTAACTATCTCCTCAAACATTCATCAATTCTTTTTTTTTTTTTTTTGACAGGCAGAGTGGACAGAGAGAGAGACAGAGAGAAAGGTCTTCCTTTGCCATTGGTTCACTCTCCAATGGCTGCCGCGGCCAGCTCGCGGCTGGCGCACTGCGCTGATCCGATGGCAGGAGCCAGGTGCTTCTCCTGGTCTCCCATGGGGTGCAGGGCCCAAGCACTTGGGCCATCCTCCACTGCACTCCCTGGCCACAGCAGAGAGCTGGCCTGGAAGATGGGCAACCGGGACAGAATCTGGCGCCCCAACCAGGACTAGAACCCGGTGTGCCGGCGCTACAAGGTGGAGGATTAGCCTAGTGAGCCACAGCACTGGCCCATCAATTCTTTATGGTGAAAATATTAAAGTCATTTCTTCTAATTTTTTCAAACATATAGTACATTATCATTATCTGTGATCACTCAAATATACAAGTGGACACCAGAACTTCTTACTCCTGTCTAAGATAATTTATTACTTGTTGATAACCTTTTCCCAAACTCCCCTATTTCTACTCTCCCCAGTCTTTGCTAACCACTGCTACACTCTCAAATTTATGAAATCAATTTTAATATTTTACATATTTGTGGGATTGTACAGTCTTTTTATTTTTTTAAACTTTTAAGAATATAAATTTGCAAAGTACAGAATATGGATTACAATGGCTTCCCCCCCCATAACGTCCCTCCCACCCGCAACCCTCCCCTTTCATACCCCCTCTCCCCTTTCATTCACATCAAGATTCATTTTCAACTCTCTTTATATACAGAAGATCAGTTTAG